AGATGAAGCATGGTCGATTGTGTCAGGTTAGAGAGAATGAGCTTTAAGTACACTTTTTTGAGTTCTGTTGAACTTTTGAATGGCTTTGGTTAATCTGGAGTGGAAACTCAGAAGTTTGGACACTGGTAGCTGGATGTCTATGGACTGAGTAAGAGAGAGTGAGCATACAATTCGGAAAGTGGAGCAGAGTCAAGGCTTCTATTAATTTGTTTATTTATACTTTTTTTTTTTTGGAGGGGAAATAGAAACAAATGGAGGGTAAACCAAGAAGACTATATCATATTTTAGCCACATCATTTTTTAAAAATAATTGTTCTTGTGTTATTCCTTCTAGTGAAAATGTGATGGCTTCTAGGCTTTTTTCCTTTTGCTTACTAATTTCATGGACCAGAAAGATAGGAAGAACAAGGATTGTTCTCTCAAATGTATATTTGACTCGTGAAAGTGTCCCAATGAATGCCAAAATCAGCACAGGCTAGTCTGGAGTGCCCAGATGAGAGCTGAATTTTGGGAGTTGGGGGATATCATACTCTTAGCAGCCATAAACTGTGAGGCTGACTGAATGTGCCTTCTGGGCTGAACCACTGGGATAAGTTAAGTGCTCTTCAAGAAATGGAATTGTGAAATTCCTCTCAGCTTCTACATAAATAGTGAAAAGAGTTGGCAATTAAGGAAGAAATACATTGATGATGATCGATGTTAATACAACTCATCCTCATGGGATCTGGCAGCTTACATACCTCTGAGAGTGTTTTTTTCAAATTCTTTGCAAACCCTGCAAACTTCGGCAGATCCCTGCAGTGAGCAACCACTGACTCATCTTTTGGCTTAGGATGTAGTTACACTGAGATCTGGCTATATGGTGAGTTACTACAAGGAGTTAAACCATGAGAAATCTCCATTTTTTTGCTGTGTTAGCTTTCTGCTTGCTTAATTCCTTGAATCAAACTAGCCACCAGTGTTTGCAGAAGTGAGGCTGTAGAAGAATGCCAACAGGTAGAAGAGGGAAGCAGAACTGCCTTTTCAACAGAGGCTAAACCTTCTATCCACCTTGTTGCAGTGTGAAACTCCACCTGTAGGATGTGACTTCACAGTTGATTGAAACTGATCTCATTCTGACTTTTTGAGGAAAGAAAAAATCCTACTGCCTCCCCAGTATCAACCCTCTCAAAACAAACCTTGCTCAAAATGGCTTGTTTGCACATGTAGGCACGGGGTTACTAGCATCGACAGGAGAAAGATAAATCACACAAGGAGTTGAAATGCGAGTTCAGTTCTCTTTTGTAGCTTGGGATGGGGCCCCAAAGAGAGTGTTATTAATGAGCTACTGGGGACAGTAGCTACTGGGGACAATGAGCTCTCTGCTCATTGTCTGCTACCAGCAATTTAGTCTTGACCAGAGCCTCTTTCCTTTGATATTCCACAATCATTGATTTTCCTTTGAACACTGAGTCATTTACCCTGGTCTTCTCCCTCCAAAAGGATGAGCTAATATAATTATAAAAATAATTCTTTTTCTGTGATCCGCAGAACAAGTGAAGCCTTGTTTCCTATGGACCTGACCTGATGTGCCACTGCTAAGTGGATTCTCGTATGTATATGCAGTGTCTGCACATGCTTGCCATTTTATCAGTGACAGCTTTATTAGGACCTGTTTCATCAATTTGGCTTTTCATTTCACTTAAGTTACTTTTGTACAAATTTAGATGGAATTGAGCAATGGTTTAAACATCCTTTCTTGGCAAGGAAAGTGTGGGAAATAATGGGACCCACAGACAGAAACACCAACAGACAGTGTAATTGCATAAGCTTGCTTTCTGTAAGAAATCAGGCTAAAATTGAGTCCTTTGACAGAGACCTCTGCAGAGACCTCAGATTATGCTACAAAAACAGAAAAGTAAATCTTGCTATTTACCATGTAAAAGCTTCTAGTTACCTGCTGTAACAGATTTCTTATACGTAAGGCTAAGCCAGCAGTTGGTGTTTACTCACTTGGTTACCTTCTCTCAGCAATGCCCCATCAGGCACTGGGAACTTGTTTTGTTGGTTGTTTTTTTTTTTTCCAGAGTACACTCATGCATCAGTTGTTTTCATTTATGTTTAATTCAATCTGTATACTTGAATAAATGGCTATGTAGGTAGCAAGACAAGCTGTTAAAGATACTTATGGTTTACAGGACTCTCTAATGTCAGTGATGACATGAAAAATAAACACTTTAAATGCAACCAGGGATACAGTCCTGTTACTTGGAGAAAAGCTAGCATCTTCTCTTTTAGACTTTTATTATGTAATAAATGTTGTGGTATTTTATTGCTTTTTTCTCTATTGTAACTGTACACTTCAACTTCTATTACTTTAGAAACTAAAGTAAAAAATTTGTAAAAGGAAAAACTGGCCTATTTCAAAATTTTGTGTGGATGCCAGTTTATTAAAAATGGGTCCAGCTACAAACAATCTTTGCAGATTTGCTTGGTATTCTGAGCTCATCTAGAGCTTTGAGAGAGTTCTCTTAGGAATGCCTTACCTGCCCCACAATGAAGGACCTGCGTCCTGGAGCCCAGACAAACCATCTTCTTAGGTCTCCGTCCAGTCACCTGGGCCTTAAACAAGTGTGTTGTGTCCCCAGGTGTTATCTTTTTCCCTTGAACTCGTTTACAGCCAGATTAGTCTCCAGATTCTCTGACCCATCATTACAGAAATGTGGGTGCTGGAGCAAGGGAGCAGGGAGCGAGCAGTCAAATCACGCGTACAACAGGAAATGTGGGACTATCCTTCTAAGTGGCCATCCAGGTTTATGCTAGACTACAGTGAACAAATAGAACAAAGCATTATACCTTGGGGGGTGGGAGGTGTGAAGGGAAGACAGAGGGAAAGAAGGAGGCAGAACATGTCCATCTGACTACAGAAACTGAGTTACAGCCAGACCCCTCTAGTTTTCTCTCCTGAGCATGCATGTGATGCACTTTTCTTCTAAGCACAAGTTGTGTGAGGAGCTTCAGAGTAGTGCTGGCTCCTGCTTGGTGACCTCCACTTCAGCTGGTCAGCTGTCTGGTGCATTGGAGCATAGGGGATGGATGGAGAGGCTGTGTCCAGGTTGTGACTGTAAGGCAGATGCAGACCTTCCCTGTTGAGGAGAATGAACCAGTGACAAGATGTGCGAGATTGCAATGCTTTGTAATCCCCAGTGGATTAGTATAAAAAATGGATAAAAATCTCTTCACTCTAGAGGAGGACTGACATGCTTTGCAGAAACACTTATTATACAGAAGCTGTAACTCTGAGGTATAAAGCATTTGTACACTCAAAATACAGATACAAGTCAATGGAAAACAAACTTCGCTGGTGTGACCCCACCACCAGTGAGACCTGACATGGTCGCACCATGTTGGCTTAGACCTGGTCCTTAGAACAGTAGCTGCTCAACCTTTAATAGCCTTGTCATCTTCTTTCTGATTAAGGGGAGGGTGTTATTTGCTCAGAAAAGGGCTCTTCTGGAAATCACTTGTGTTCCTTTTGTGCTAGCAATAGGTCCATACAGCATTCCTGAGTTAAGAAATAAGAAGGGGGACAGTAAAGTTTGAGCATTGACTTACAGACAGAAAAAAAATACTGCTTCTACAGAGATTTTCCCTGATGTCAGCTATTAGCTGCTTTGTTGCACTCCTTGGATAATGCGTCTGCTCAATGCCAAGTCTTTGCTAGGGAGATCCTCCTTCCCTGATGATTACAAGTGGCAAAGTTAAAACAAAGCAACATTTGATGCTGTCAAATTGTTAAAGCAATCTTTCTTGTGGGTTTAGTGTCTGCTTCAAACAGACACAGCTAGCTGGAATTCTAACAGCACAAAAATTGGGAAATATTTGGAATTGTAAAGGAATTGGAAGAAATTGGGTGCTCAAATCCTTTAATTTGCAACAGAATTTGGTCTGGAAACGTGTTTGCTTTTCGACAATGATGGCCTCAAAACTTGATGATCATAACCCTGACCATAGCAGCTGCCTGAATACTCATTGTCCGTGTTTTGCAGTGTCACGCTTCTAATGGTCGTATTTTTCCACGCACAAGGGAGGAACAATTGTCATGATTATTCCTCTGTTAACTTCTTGATACTTACCGCTCGATTTCCCCCCTCTTTGTTTTCTTCCAGCTTGCCACTTTGAGGTGGCTACGCACTCCTATTTATTTTCCTGGCTGCCTTTGTTCCTTACTTCCCATTCTCTCCGGTCCCTCCTGCCCGAGGGGCTCCCCGGTCCTCCGGGTCGGGTGGCTTCCACAGCCCCGCTGCGGCTCGCTCCTCGAGCCCTCCTAATCTCAGACAACAAGCCGCTCTTTTCACTTCAAAACTCTCCTGAAAAGAGCTCGCTTTTCAGTATTTTTGCCAGTGCTCGCTGCCCACTGAAGGCACGCTGACGCCTGTCCAGGTACACAGCCGCCCCAACACCAGCTGCCGTACAACATGGCGGCTCCCGCCGCCCGCCCACACCGCCGGCACAGAGGAAGTGTCCGCCGCTCTAAGCCTCCCGGTGCGTGTGGCGACTGCCCCGCGGGGGGTTCCTGCCGCCGGACGCAGCCGTTCCGCGGGACGCAGGCAGCGAGCGGGTCGGTGGGCGCCCGGCGAGGCCCGCGGGCGGGCGGCGGGGCCGGGCGCGGGGGGAGAGGCTGCTCCGCGCGTCCCGGGTGCGGCCGCGCCCGCAGGTGCCCCGGTACGCGGTCCGATGCGCCCGCGGCCTCCCGCCTGCTCCATCCGTGCCGGAGCGGCGTCCGGGCCTCTTCCCGCGATATCCCCGGCCGAGCCTAAGGCGGGCAGCGCCTTCGCCCTGGAGTCCTGGGCCGGCCCGCAGGAGGGCTCGGCTCGGGCCCCCGGCCTTGGCACCGCTGCCCCCGGGCTGGGCAGGGGCCTCGTTGTCTCATCTGGGCTTCCCTGCCCGGCGGGATGGCGGATCCGCACGAGGGTCTGCCTGGGATCACAGGCAGGAGGGGCTATAGGTGCGCGTGGCCCTGCTTGTGTTCAGCCTTCTCGCTCTGTTTAAGAGGCGGGAGGGAATTACTGTCACTTCGCAGGCGTTTAGGCAGGTGCCCGGCCCGTGATCGGGGTTCTGACAGCGGTTCTGCAGGGCTGTAGCAGCACCGACACCAGAACTTCTGCTTGTGTGGGACAGTGCGTCAGAGCAGCCCTTTAGAAACTACGCGGTGGGTTGGGAAGGTGGGGGTGCAGGGGCAGGATTGATTTCAGTTTACTGAAGGGGTACTAAGCTTTTGTATGATAGAGGGAAAGCTGTGTTATGAATAGATGCTGCTTCTTTAGGGCTTTTCAGTGCCTGAAGAGCCATTTGACCCTAGCATGGATGTGAATGTAATGGACAAATGCCTATTGTTTACTAATGCATGAACTGACATGCTTATTCTGCAGCAATTCCATCTTGCCCTTGTTTAGGTTGATCTAGTTCCAAACTGAACTAAAAGATGTTGGTAATAACCATGACTAGTTTATTTTTGGAATATCAGAGTTTGTGGAAGCATCTAGTTCCACCAGTATAAATTAATGCATTCCCTTTAAGGTTTTCCGTGGTGTAGTCAACAGCAGCATTCAGTCTCCTGTTACTGCTTAATCCACAACTGCAGTGGTCTGTCCCCAGACCTCCCCAGTCTAAGTGGGTCCTTCTTCTGTCAGGATCACAAGTTGTGGCTAGGACCTTGCTATGTATAGCATTGCATATATTTAATATCTCTAAACACATTTCGTTGTCCTTAATTTCCAGCTCTCATTTTTCTTTGCAGGCCATGATGAAATCCTACAATGCCGTTTTGTGTGGGTGAAGTGAAGGAGTAGTAAAGGAAATAAAAAAAATGCCCAAGCAAACAGCAGTGACAATAACTTTGGCGACCCTGCTGGGTGTTGCAGTGGGAGGACTGGTTTTGTGGAAAGCAACCCAACGTCGGAAAGGAAAAGCATGCCATAGTAGTCAGCAAGAAGAAGCAGCTATAAAGTCGGGAGATGAGAGACTCATTAAGACAGAGGATAAGGAGGTGCTTTCCTTCTTCAGATCTCCCACCTTTTCCTGGGTAGAGAGGACCCTTGGTGCAGACATAGTGATAGTTTCAGAGCAGGAGGAGTGGAATCGTGTTGAACCATTACTGAAGAAGGAGCTGGAGAAGTGGCCGGTGCTTGGAATTGATTGTGAGTGGGTGAGTGATCAAGAAGCGCCTCTCCTTTAGATTGCAAATTGCAACGGTGAGGGTGGGGTGATTCCTTTGTTTAAATGGATCTTCTAGGACTGTTGAAACTGCCTGTGAGATTGTCTGTCCTGACAGCAGTGAAATAGCTGCTAATTTTGATTGCTCTTACCTTTAAGTATGCTATGTTTTTAATTAACTATTTACTGAGCTCCTGTGGTAAATCGACTTTACTAAATATAGTGATAATTGTATGGCTAAATATAGCATTATGTGTTTTGTGTAATAGCTCTTTGAAGGTGATTTACTAGAAGTAGCTTGGGTTTACACTATTTTAAATCCGGCTACATTTTTAAGAAACAATATCTTAAGTATAATAAATCCAAAAAGAAGGATAGTACTGATACGTAGATAAAACTCACTGGGACAACCAGAAAGTAAAGTTCCTCTTTTCCTTGTACATTTGCATGTCTGATCTCTCAAAACAGGCTGTCTTTGCCATTGTTTTGGCTGGAAATTTATTCACCCCACAGTCATTATTATAAGCCACAGTTAAACAATGAATTTGCCGTGAACATTATACATATATATATATATATATATAGTGGGTGGCTTTGTGCTGATGTGGATTAAGAAATGTGTCTGATTTCTTTCACCAGCTCAGCTATGAGGGGGAAGGATGAAAAGGGGAAAGATTGTCTTGTAGGAGTGTGGCAAGAAGTAGCTTGGGACAGTAATACTGTGAAACAGATCACATAATTTGCAGTGAAATTTTAGAGACATGTAACAACACTTGACTGATGAGTATTTCCTGTCTTCAGTGACCTCTTTTGCAATTTGCTCCAGCTCCAGCATTACTAATAATACTGTAACCTGGACTCCTCATTTTTTTATTTCATTACAGGTATCAGTGGAGGGAAGAGCAAATCCTGTATCCCTGCTACAGATGGCTTCTTCCAGTGGCCTCTGTGTTCTTGTTCGGTTGCCCAGGCTTGTTGCCAGTCGACAGACTCTCCCAAAGACCCTGTTGGACATCATGGCAGATAGTACTGTGTTGAAAGTTGGGGTTGGATGCTGGGAAGATGCTTGCAAGCTACTTCATGATTATGGCCTTCCAGTCAAAGGGAGTGTGGATCTGCGGTATTTAGCCATGAGGCAGCGGTAAGTGCCTGAAGACAGAGGCGACTCTGTTGGAGGCATCATTTGAGTTGGAAATATTTTTAAAATAATTTGCATATGCTGAATGATATCAGTCTGGTAGGTCTGGAGTTCTCAGGGTGACTTTAGAGAATGGGCATTGACAGCTGCAGCCCAAGAACATTTCATGCTTGTATTCTGTGGTCTTAATGGAAATTAAATCTTCACGAGGATTTCATTTGCTAATTGTGTCTGTTAGTCTTCTCATGCAATACCCTTATGCACTTTTCTGAGTATCATGCTTCAGCTTTTAAAAGTCCAAGCACAGTGATGTAATGCAGTGAAAGAGATCACTGTGTCAGCAGATGTTTGAATGCCTAGAAGTATGGCATAATGTGCCCAGAGCATGTAAGTAGAACTGCTGAATTGCAAGATTTCTTGAAAAATTACTAAATAAACCAGTTCTAATTTTCTCTTTTAATAAAAATGCTTCTGTGGAAAGGTTACAATTACGATGCCATTTTCTTATCCTTCATTCTTCCTAAAACAAAATGTTTTACTTGCCTGTATTCTTCATGTACAGTTATATGGATGTCTAGGTGTGGTGTTAGTGATCTGGGACATGGGTTGGCTGACCTGATGGTGCCTTTTTATCACTGAGGATGGACTTCTTGTCTCTTGTGGCCAGAATTCCTCTTGAGTCATTCCTGGCTCTTTAGTTTCTCTTGAATCCCTGGGGCAGGCAGTCCATCACTTTATGATGGAACTCTTTAGTTCAGAAGTATTTCAGAGGCAAACACTTCAGCCTTAAACGTTACTGACTCCCAGCCTTGACTGTTTTGCATATTGCAGACACAAGATAATTACTAAATCTAGAAAAGACATTTTAATAGAGGGGAGGGAGAGGGCCTTTAAAGCTGACAGGAAGCTCTGTGCTGTTTGGGAGTCATGCATCATGTGCGTTGTGCTCTGGCAGGGTCTGTGAGGCCATCTGAATTTACATGAGCGTATACTTTAATTTTTAATATGTTTGTTTCACTTTTTTTCTTAAACCGAAGGAAGGATCTACTTCACAACTGCCTTAGCCTTAAGTCTTTAGCTGAAAAAGTCCTGAACTGCCCGCTTGACAAATCTCCTCATGTGCGTTGCAGCAACTGGGAGGCAGAAGAACTGGCACAAGATCAGGTGTGTCTTCCACTTCAACTTGGTGTTTTGGGAGGAAAAGTAACCTTCTTAGTAGAAAAAGAGGCTTTACCACAGGGAGGTCTGAACCTCTTCAAGTTCTGCCTCAAAACCTTATGTGTGACTGTGGTCTAAAGTTAATTTCAGGCTCTCTACCTGCATTTCCCTTCTTTTCCTTGAAGATCATTTTCTACTGTTCTCTCTGGATACTTGACTGTTGTTTTCCTTTAGTCCTGAAAGATCTATAAGGCAAGATCCCTTGAAGAAGTGTTTCCAAAACCTCACTTTTTTATTACTTTCTTTTCTTCATTCTGTAGCAGTCAGTGCAGACACTGGAAACCTTCTTTAGAGCATTATAGTTTCCCTGATTGCTCAGTTTCTTTAGTCAAGCTGCAGATGTCTGCGATATCAGTGACCGGTAGAGGGAGTGACAGGACAAAGAACCACGCTGGATATTCGTAGCCAGTATGTCAAAAGGGAACTGCTTACTAGTTAGGGAGGGCTTGGTGGGGTAGGAAGGTGTTTTAGGGCCTGGCTGACCTGAATTTTTTCACTCCCTTGCAGTTCCTGGGGGCACCCATGAGTACTTCAAGTCTGACCGACCCTAGAAATGTGGGGTGTGGTGATGTTATGAAAGTGCCACTCAACTGGCAAAACTTTGAACTTCTAAAGGAAATGAATGCAGCTTCTGGCTTTACTGTACCAAATGTTGAAGACTAATAATGTTTGGGAGTATTTGCTGTTTGTCCGTATCTAGATGTCTGTGCTTTTCTGCAGATTCTCTATGCTGCTAGGGATGCCCAGGTCTCAGTGGCTCTTTTCCTCCATTTGCTGGGATTTGCTGGCCTCCCTGCTACATCTGAAGGTGAAAACTCTGTCGCTGCTTGGGAAAAAGCATTGGGTAAATGCCGGGGCTTGGTGGATATCCCATTTAGAGGAAGAAAGAGTGTCAGCACAGGAGAGGAGAAGAGTGGAGATGGACACTCCCCTCAGAAAACAAAGAATCGGAAATCTTGGGTGAATGGCCAGCCCTCTGGCAATCATCAAGTGAGAGATCCACGGAGGCAGAAGCGAAAGCCTCTGGGTGTGGGATATTCTGCACGGTAAGTATATGAGCACACTTTACTCTTTGCACTGCAGATGGAAAACTTTGAATGTTGCCTCCTACTCTATTCATTAAACAAAGTGGATAATATGAGCTAGGAAAGCAAATGCAGGACCTAACAGTCGTGGGAGCCAGATCCTGTTTCTGTGTTCCTCATTTCTCTGTAGGTATTAGAAGCGGGGCAGCACTTGGATCTGTACTAGGTCATGAGCAAGTTAAAGTGTTGTCTTCCACTTTTACCCTTCCTTCTCCTGTGGAAGCATTAGCCAGAGAGAAGAGTCCCAGCAGGAGGTGTTATTCTTGGGGTGTCCTGCACAGGACCAGGAGTTGGACTCAACGATCCTGATGGGTTCCTTCCAAGTCAGCATATTCTATGATTCTGCTGCCCAAACGGCTGTGCGTTTTCTCCTCCAGGGAAAAGGTGGCAACTGCATAGGGCTTGTCCCTTCATCAGGATCTGCCTCGTGGACTGCTGTTTGTACTTAGCTGTCCTATGTCACTGTGGCCACAGAGATGGCAGAGTACTGAGCAGAGATGAAAGCTGAGGTGCCAGAGGGCACAGGAAGGAACAGTCTGTGGTAGTCCCTCTGTGTTGGCCTGGGAGAGAGAGGAGGGAATGGTACTACTTTGGACTTGCAGAGGCAGCTGTTGCTGGATTCAGGATCACTGTCTTTGCAGGTGATTTTTGGGAGTGGATCCTAAATTCTTACTGCCTTTTGCTAATGAGAGTTCAAAACCAGTTGGAGAAGTCTCTTTAAGATCAGTGCAGTGGAAGATGTGGGGAGCTAGTATTTTTGCTTTTGTTGGGATACAATTAATAAAATTTGTCACTGGATATAGGAACTAAAATTTTATGTAATTATCATTGGGAAAGAAAGCCAGACATTTTAGTATTTGTTTTCTCCTTTTTAAGTTCATTGGATTGGCAATGGAGACATCTTAATGTAGTCAATAGTATTGATTTCATTAGCAGTCATTAGCAGTGTTGTGTTTTACATAGCAAATCCCTCCAGGTTTTTTTTTTTATTTTTTATTGGGAGGCTGTGTCATGCAGAACAGGAGTACTGTGTCTCAGGGGAGGATTAAAATTTAAACAAAATTGCTTTCCAAGCTAAATTGAGATCTCCCCCTAGTTGTTTATTTATTTTTTGTTTTTAACTGCGCTTGACTTCTTGAGAGATCTGTAGACTCAGTGTTTTTTATAGTATTTACAGCAGTGTGGCTCTGGTCTGTGGTAACACTGGATGTAGTTTCAAAAGTCATTTTCCACTCTTCCTTTCTGTTTAAGTCTGTTTAGTTTAAATTTTTATTCATTTAAAGTTGGCATGTACTGAAATTGTCATGGTGACTGAGTTGAACTGTTGAACTGCTCAGTGGAAGGGAGGACCTCCTGTATCATTGTTTTGTTGGTTTTTTTCCCCCTCATGGACCTCAGAAGAAATCTTTCTGTCATGATTATATAGCCTGTGAATCAACCTTTTTAGCTGGTAGAGCTCTGCTGACTACAGCTTGTACAATCTCGCTGGAGAGAAGAAAGGAAACTTTTCCTCAGTGTATTGTGACATGTCTGGCCAGGTCCTCTCTAAGCCCAATCTGTCCACTCTTCAGTTTTGTTTGAAGGAGATTGGCAAAGGAAACACTTTCTCCAAAACAGTGCCCTTCCATACACTGCCGCAAACCACCAGAGACTGCTCCAGCAGAAATTTTTGTCCCTACCACAGGTTGGGGCCTGTTTTTGAGGGCCTCAGTTCAGCTTTGTTGTTCTCATGGACTCATGTGTTTGAGTCCCCAACTTTTGGAGACTTTTTGGAGCATTTCTCTTGGGTAAGTGAAGTAATTGCTATTCACACTAAGTTTTAGAAAATTTTTCTTAATAAAGCTTTTAAATACAGCCTTAGGCAGCCAGTCCTTGAAACTGCCTCACCAGTAAGTTGACACTCTCTTTGAGCTTACTCTTGGCTCATCATCCTTTGTGACTTCAATTTTCTTTTGTTTTCTAATTTAATTTTTTTTAAAGGCTGTCATAATTGATGGCATCTCTTGAAAATTGGGGTTCAGAGTTACAATTCTGTTGGCAGCAGGAGAGCAAAGATAGCTTAGAGTTAGTAAATCTAGGTAAGTTTTTAGATGTACTGCTTCCCTTACCAGCAGCCTGTGCAGTCTCAGCAGCCTCAAGTGTGTGTTTAGGGGCACTCACGTGATTTGGAGGAGGCTGCATGAATTGGAATGTGGAACCAATGGCTACAGAGAGCTCTGGGTGTTTTGGCATGCTATCATAGTTGCTGTAATGCTGTCCTTGTTTCATAGAAAATCTCCTCTGTATGACAACTGCTTCCTGCATGCACCAGATGGACAACCCCTGTGCACTTGTGATCGCAAGAAGGCTCAGTGGTATCTGGACAAGGGGATTGGAGGTAGGCATACCAGATTTTCAGGTGGTATTTGAAATACAGCTTCTCTCCTCCCCTCCCCTCCCCTCCCTCTTTTGTTTTTTAGATAATGGAGCATGAATGTTTTGTATCCTCTCTTATTGGAAATACTGTTTGGGATTTGCTAGGATGACTCTTACATTGTAGCATTGTTATTTAAGCTTTCAAATACAAATTTGTTTTGAATATTCTCTCTTTGCCTTTACCCTTGTAGAGCTAGTTAGCACAGACCCATTTGTTGTGAAGCTGCGGTTTGAGCCTTCAGGACGTCCTGAGTCTCAAGTTGATTATTATCTGACAGTCAAAGAAAATCTGTGCGTTGTATGTGGCAAGCGAGAATCCTATATCCGGTGAGTTGTTAGTGGATAGGGGAAAACTGCATCTTTTAGAACAGAACTGAGGTCTGCATCTAGTTTGGCATCCATAGCTTGGTTAGTGGCCTGAAACATTATGCCTATTCATGTTCTGGATGGGCTATCACTATTTGAATGCTCTGTAGTTGTATGTGACTGGGCAGGTTTGAAAGTGAAGAGACCGGCCTTTCCTCTGAAGGGAAGGTGATACCAATCCTAGGAAGAGCAAAGCTCTTATGGAACATGTATATGCTGCAGTTTGAATGAGGGGGGCAGCAGTGTGCTGATACACACTGTTCAGGTGGCATGCTCTTCTGAAAATAGTTGTTCTAGTCTTTCTACTACTTAATCCTTATATTTTTGAAAGGTTTAGGTGAGCCTGAAGCTCATGAGGTCAAAAGGAACAAGATTTTTGTCTTTGCAGCTGCTACTGATTAGTTGAGAAATATACTTCTCATAGAGCATTACTTTATTTTTTTTTTACAGTATGAATATTTTTCTTTTTGATTGAAAGGGATGAATCTTTGTAAGGGGAAAAAAGAGAAATGCAGAAAACCTGTAGAGACAACTACAAATAAAAAGAATAAAAATAATGTCTTGCTGTACTACGGGTCCTGATCGTGGTAATCTTTGTTTTCCTGGACTTTAAGTTTTAGGTAACGCTTTCTAGGCCAGGAGGAGGAGGAACTGAGGAGTAGCAGCTCCAGACAAATGTAATGAACTGTCTGTTTTGTCTTCTCTAGGAAGAACGTTGTTCCTCATGAATACCGAAGACACTTCCCCATTCAGATGAAGGACCACAACTCCCATGACGTGCTCCTACTCTGCACATCTTGCCATGCCATTTCCAATTACTATGACAACCATCTCAAGCAGCAGCTGGCTGAGGAGTTTGGTGCCCCCATCGGCTCCGAGGAAGGTGTGCGTCTGCTGGAGGACCCTCTGCGCAGGCAAGTGCGCTCGGGAGCGCGAGCCCTGCTGAATGCAGACAGCCTGCCTGACCCCCGAAGGGCAGAGCTTCTGCAAAGCATCAAGGACTTCTTTAACACAGAGGCAGTCACACCAGAGATGCTCCAGGAAGCAGCTGGTCTGGAAACCAGGTATAACAAGCCCATCAGTAGGTGTCAGATTTTGTAATTTATATTGCATTTCTTACTGGTTTTGGTTTTGTTTACACACTTCTTCCCGCAACCCATCAGTGATCTGTGAACTGAAGCTCTTGTTTCTTCCCCTCTTTCCCTTCCTCTTCCAGCAGTCTACTGTTCTTGCTCTCCATCTTCCTCTCCAACACTTTATACTTCTTTTGAAGGACAGATCAGGAAGAGAGGTTGAAGGACCATTATATTGGAATTCTCCTTCACTTTCTCAAAGCCTCCCCAAATACCTTTTCTTAACGAGTATCTAGTCTCTGTCTGCATGAAATCAGTATTTTCTCCTTTTTATGCTCACTGTTATTTGTATATGCCAATGTTATAACTCAGAATCTATCCAGACAGAGAATTCAGTGGCAGAATCTGGAGGGTCATATAGTTCTTGCCTTGAGAAATTTGCAGTCTGTATCCTGAGGAGCATGTAATGGACCTAAAGAGCTTTGTTTAGTGTTGCTGTAAAAGAAGAACACTCTCAGTTCAGAGAAACCAGTTTCACAGTGTAACTATGTTCTGGAAAGCAGTCTGGCATTGAAGCAGAGCTTAAAACTCTCCCTCTTGGTTAGCTTACCATGTGTCTGTAATTAAACTCTGCAGCTGAAAGTATCTTCAGTGTCTTGCTGTTCACTGGAGACAGATCTAGAGTCTGACAGTGGGCTTGTGTGAAACTAAACTCTGCTTATGTCTTGGCAGGATCTGCAATGAGAGCTACGTGCCACATGGACTGAAGGTGGTGCAGTGTTTTGCTAAAGGAGGCCTGCGCTCCCTTATGCAGTTGGAAAGACGCTGGCGGCAGCACTTTTTGGACAGTATGCAGCCCAAGCACCTCCCAGAGCAATGGTCAGTGGATCATAACCACATGAAGCTGATCAGGAAGTATGGGGAGGATCTTCAGATTGAGCTGTCATGAAACTAACTCCCTGAACTCCGGATAGTGTCTAATGAACATATGTAACTGAAGATGAAAGGACTTTTTATCTCTATGCCTTCACTAACACCTGGGTCTGGGTTTGCAAACAGGTAGCAGTAGATCTGCCAGGTTTGACATTTTTATAGAGTTAAATTTGACAGTTAGATCCATTGACTTGAACTTTCAGGTGGTTTGGAATTTTTAATCCTAGTCTGTCACTCACTAGTTCAGTGCAAGAGTGATATACTAAGGGAACTTGTCTTCTCAAAGTGACTATGGAGAATTATTTTCCTGAAACCTCCAGGGTACTTGCTACCTGCAGACCATCTCTCAACACAGAGCACAATATATGAACTTTTCCACATTTTCTGACATAAATTTGTGCCCTTGACTTCACCTTTAGAGTCTCTCGATAAAAATCTTTCTTTGTTTTCAGTTCAGTTGTACTCATATGAGTTCTTCTTAGAGAAGACCCCCTGCCAGAGAGAGATTTCTTGTTTGGAACTGGCAAAGAAACCTTTTTTGTAGATTCTGAGGTGTACCAGCATTGCAGATAGGCCTGAGCAAGTTTCCTGGTGGCAGGTGCCTGATGAGAAGTAACACTCTGACTCTGGCAGTATGGAAGCACCTACGCCAAGTCTTTTGTTAAACAGCTTCCAGCAACACACAGTTTATAAAAATATTCTTTTTTGATTCTGCTTGTCTGTCTTGAATAGTGTGCACATGCCTGCAGGGCTGTGATCTTGTTGGCATTACAGAGACAGGGTGGGATGACTCCTATGACTGGAGTGTTGGAATGGAAGGATACAGGCTGTTTAAGAAGAACAGGCATGGATGTGTCTTACCTTCTCTGTCAATGACTGGCTGGAGTGCATGGAGCTCTGGCTGGAGTTAATGGAGCTCAGCCTAGGGATGGATGAGGAGGCAACCAAGAGTTTATGGGTCAGGATTAAGGGAGGACAGAAACGGGTGACATTATGGTGGAAGTCTGCTACAGGTCGTCCAACTCCAACCGGGAAGATTGAGTGGATGAAGCCGTACATAGACAGATAAAAGCACCCTCGTGTTCACAAGCCTTGGTAGTAATGGGAGACTTCAACCATCCCCATATCTATTGGAGGGACAACACAGCAGGGCATAAGCAATTCAGGAGGTTCCTGGAATGTGTTGGTAACTTCTCCAGAAAGCCAACCCCATCCTGGGCTGCATCAAAAGAGGCATGACCAGTAGGGCAAGGGAAGTGATTCTCCCCTCTATTCTGCTCTCATGAGACCCATGTGGAGTACTGCATCCAGCTCTGGGGCCCTCATCATAATAGAGTGAGTCCAGAGAAGGGCTACAAAGATGATCAGAGGGCTGGAACATCTATCTTATAAAGACAGACTGAGAGAGTTGTTCAGCCTGGAGAAGAGAAGTCTCTGGAGAGACCTTATTGCAGCCTTTCAGTACCTAGAAGGGGCTACAGGAGAGCTAGAGAGGGACTTCTTAAAAGAGCACATAGTAGTAAAACAGGGAGGAATGGCTTTAAACTGAAAGAGGGTAGGTTTACACTTAGATATTAGGAGGAAATTCTTTATTGTGAGTGGTGAAGCACTGGCACAGGTTGCCCAGAGAGAAGCTATGGGTGCCCCATCCCTGGAAGTGCTCAAGGCCAGGTTGGATGGAGCTCTGAGCAACCTGGTCTAGTGAAAGGTGTCCCTGCCCATGGCAGGGGAGTTGGAACTGGATGATCTTTAAGGTTCTTTCCAACCCAAACCATTCTATGATTCTATGAATAGCTCCTGGGGAGTACCTTTTCATATCAGACTGAAATAAGTACAGGTGTCTTAAAAGGAATAAGAGGAAACAAATTTAAATTAAAGACCAGCATCTTTTAAGAGATCAGACCACATATGGAAAATAAATGGAAAATCTGGTGTTCTGTACCTGGATTTGACATGTGTAGTGGTGAGCAGGCCATACTTGCTCCATTCTTGTTTCCCAGCCTCTAACATGGGACTAATAGTACGTAATTATCTCATGAGGGTGTTCTGAGGCTTAATTAATACATGTGTTTATAAAATGCTTTGAAAATATAAGCTAGTGTGTGCTAATTATTACTGTTGTTTTTTAAAATGTACTGCTGTCTCACTTTCTTAAATATTCATTTTTTGTCTGGTGCTAGACCTTAGTTAAATATAACTTTTTAAAAATACATACTCATTTCTGTAAAATCGCTTCTGATGATTTTGATTGCATGAGTGTGCTTCTACTGAATGATGAAACTCTTATCAACTTTTATATGTCTCTGTAAAGAAGTTTCAGTAAAACCCTTATCTTACTTCACACTACTGCGTATAGCGCAGTTGACCCACATTTTATTATAATGTTTGGGCAGAATCCTGGACCTGCTGTGATCATGGCTGAAATTGTCCCTTATCAGATAATTCAAGAAATTCCACAGGCCAGGGGTGAAAATCCTGTTTGTAGCAGAGACTGGTTAAGTAGGAGCCGTGGAGAAATGGTATATTATTGTCATCCAAGAGGAACTGCAATAGCAGCGTGAGGAATCAAAGATTCATGATAAATACTACTTATCAGAGAGCTGCAAATGAGACTATTTTCATTATAAGGGCAATTTTATTTCTTTTCCTGTATCACTGGCAGGTCTTAACAAAAACTCATCTAGCCAAATGTGGTTTGTCTCTGTGCTCATTCACACAGCTGATTATAATCTCAGCAAGAACCTCCTGCCTACAGCAGCAGCTTGGATATAACTATTTTTCTCCAAAGCATTTTAAGCATGTGTTCAGATAGTGCTATATCCTGTCTCCATCTGATCAGGGTGTTGAGAGCTCTTTGCATGGCTCAGAAGCTACTTTTCAGTCATCGGGAATATAAGGTGTATCTCACATCTTTGTTCTACTTTGTTTTTTCTCCCTTTGTTCTGATGTAGAAACTGCTGATAAAACTGGTTTGTTTAATGGAACTGATTGGCTGACCACAGGGTTAGGGTCTTTTATGTTTGTTGAGACAAGAAAACAATGTTGAGACAAGAATTGGACTATGGGTTCTCTGTTGTTAAAAAGCCAGAGGTATCATTGAAGAGGTTTCTTTCCAAATCATTTGTTCAGAAATAGGAACTGGCAAAGAAAACTTACTTCACAAATATTTTATGAACTAAGATTCTTTGCTATTTGTAAGATATTCTTAACTTGCATCATTTTAAGTCAATCTGAAAGAGAAGAAATGATATATTTATTGTGCATAAATATATTATTTTTATATTATTATGATTTTAAATTTTCTATCAGTCTATAGATAAAAGTTCTTTGTATGTCTTCATTGGTAATTGTTACATTCTGTAAAAATTTACTGTTTTACCAGACTTACCACTTTTGAAGCTCTTTTTTCCTTTTTTTGCATGCCTGCCTTTTATTTCTTTCCTTGTGTCTCACACAGTCCTTACGAGTCCATCATTCCTTACAGTAACACTGGGCCTCACCCTCTGAGTTTCCTTTTCCAGTGCTTTTCCTGATCTGTGTGTCAGAGATCAGCTGTGGAAGAGCCCATGCTAGCAGCAATACTGTACTTCTAAGCAATGTGATAGCAAGTTTGCTCAGGTATGTTTGAATAATGGGTTCAGATGCTGTCCTTGGCCTGGTCATGTTGATCAGTCATGATGGCTACAGATCTACTTTTTTTAAAAAAAACCCTAGTTTTTTCTCAACCTGAGCATTCATCTAGGTTGCTCCAAGTATTTTACCTTCACTTACCATGCACTTACCCTCCTTCACTTAACCATGCACATCCATTTTGTCTGTGGAGGGAAAGAATTGCAATGCCTCTCTGATTGGACTGGGTTTCACAATATGGGATTTTTCTTTCTGTTGCTCGTCACTTCACACTTGTAAGTTTGTCTAAGATATGCTGCCAGAGATGGGGGAGAGGAATCTTCCCTTTTTCCTGGTGCTTTGTGCCACCTGCCTCAAAATGGTTCTTTCAGGTTAGTGGGTACATGTTTCCAGAGACAGTCTTCTGGAGTGGGAGTAGCAGCAGCCCCTGTGGCAGATTAGCTTGCCTTCCCCTATGGGCTACAAACTGATTTCTGTCTTCCCAGACACTACAGTTTGTGTTTTTCTTGATTTTTCAGTAACTTAGACATTATTGCAAGGTGCAGGAATTACCGGCTGAGCAGCATTTTTAATAACCTGTCTGTTGGTGCAGTAAGTGCTGCATTTTTGAGCAGATCATATATGACATGTTAATTATGCTGCTGACAGACTTGGCATTTGGAGTGCCTTGGTTTTCCTCCTTTGACAGTCTTTAAAGGTCCCAGCTGTCACATTTGTGACTGACAGGACTGAAGACAACATATCCCTGTGGGCTTCTTGCATTTTTCTCTGTTTGGTATTCAGTAATGGCAAGGATGGGAAGCTCTCTTCCTGTTGCATTTCTATTGCTCTGGCTCCTTAGGGAATATCTGAACTCTGCACTATTTGTAACATGGTTTTGGTGTGAGTTTTTCAGTGAAGGCAATGTGGTTAGCCTTGAGAAGTACCTTATTGCCTTGGCCTTGTGCCTTTGAGGAACTGGGTCTATTGCACGTATGGAGGGAGTCTCTCTAATGAGGAGCCACCAGGAGCCCTTGCCAGTCTGCAGTGTTCTGTACTGATTTAGAGGCACCTCTAGTCTGAACCAGGAAATCAATTCCAATCACTGCTCCTTGATCTCCTCCTTCTGTCAGGCCTCCAAAGTAGCCCAGACCTATATGACCTTCTTCATTCCCACAGGCTGACATAAACTGCATTCCGCTTGGTATTCTAGGGGAGTACGTGCCACTTTTAAAGTCCTTTCTCTCTCTTCAAGTATCATGTTATTGGTACAAGGACTTTTCCCCACCCTCAGGGGTACATTATTCGGGAGAAGGGCAGAGGCAGTTTGAGGTAAGTGCAAAGACGACGTACCCAGCTTTCTCTGGGAGTTGTTAAAGGAGCCACAGTGTGTCCTCTTGTATTAGACCTGCATTAAGGGAGTTTAGTTAAATGCTTTTACAGATAAAGAGGGTAATGCAAGAGCCAACATGGTTAAGCTTAGTAGAGGAAATCCCCCCCCAAAAGCCAAATAAACAAGCATGGAACGTAATTTCTCATATTCAAAACAGATTCCTCTGTCACTGTGAATTCTACCATGAAGAGCAGGCAGCTCTGGCAAGGATTTTCTGTGCCAAGGTTAGTGCTGCATCCTCTCTTGCCACTTAACTGTAATGGAGATTGTTTCTTTCTTGAATTAGCCAGCGTAATGCTACCTGGGGTCTCAGTGGTGCTGATTGCCAGGAAACAGAGCAAAACCATCTTTCTTTTATTACTTTTCTTTGCAAGCTATTCGATAAGTTCAGCTTCGAGATGGGGGGAGTAAAAATAACAGAAAAAAAAGAGGATGGAGGCTTTTACTGT